GAGGCTGACATCACTGGTCCAAGTTCCTCTGCCCCGGGTGGGGTATTCATGCTGCCATTCCCACGTGACCTGCTGTTTCCCCTCGTCCTCAGGAGGGCTGGTCTCTGAGGTGCAGGCAGCTCCGCCAGGCCTGGGAGCACGACGCCTCCTGCCAATGCCTTGCCGAGGTCCATTGGCCTTCACCCTTCCGCAGGCCTTAGCCTCTGTGACTCTCTGCCTCAGTGATTTCTCTGGATTTCTTTGTCCTCAGGAATGTGCTGGGGCCACAGGCAGGTCAGGCCAGGCTTTCTGGGGAGCGAAGGCTCTCTGCCAGTGGCGGAGGGAACTGGTAAGACACATCCCCCAGATTCCTCTCCTGCAGGTGGGATGGTGCCAGGAAAGTTCTACACCATCCTTCCCAGGTCCTAGGAGGACGAGCACAGTTGTCCACAAGGTAACATCCTGCTCATTCAACACCTGTGTATCTGTGTCCCTCCCTCATCAGCCCCCTTAAACCCCACAGTGGGTAGGAAATGTCAGAAAGCAAGAGAACATGCTAGAGATAAGGGAACTTCTTTAGGATTTCATCAAGTCTACATCCCTGAGAAAAGTGGGCTCTGGTGAATCATTTATCAGTAGTGTGCTCTGATCATTGTCCTGGGCTAAATCGTCAACCCAAGGCTTGCCCACCCTTTGAGTCCACGCAGGACAGGAACTGGGCACATTTTTCCTTACTTTTGCAGGGCCTGGCAGGGCCTGGCACCTCACAGCACTTGGTAGGCTCCGATAAATGCTCAACCATGCTGAGTTCACTCCACAGTAGCTCAGCTGGAAGGGGTTCTTCAAAGACCACTGAGATGAGAAAGAGTGACTTTGTTGAAGACCTCTGTCCATCCAAAGCTATCAAGGGTCAGTTGTTCAGGCATTGCTACCTCCCATTTGTCTCTAGCACTGGAGAAGTCTGCTTTAAGTTCCGGGTACGTGAGCCAACATAGGGCTCCTGGCTTAGGAGCTGTGTGTAGTATTCAGGCGGGAGAAGCCTGGAGCTGGGCCTGCCTTAAGGGCAGAAAGTCCAGTCCTGGACTGAAGGCCTCCCTGTCTCCAGAACCAGGACCAGGATATCTGGGGCTTCTTTCAATGCTGTTTCTACAAGGCTCACCTTAGACGTTAATCTCATGATGTAATAATATTTGACCATAGTATTTATTTATTGTATGTGGCAAGGAAGCAAGAGGATGTTGAAAATTCCTCGTTGGATCTGAATTTGGGAACAAGTTTGAGGAATCTATTTTACTTAATCCTACTGAAAAATTCCCTAATGAGTTAAAGAAAAACAAAGTAAAAGAAGAGAAAAAAGCAGCTGGCACTTGAAATGAAGATCAAATCATCAAGTCCTGTATGTCACCCACAGATCTGAAATCGCTGATTCCCAGAGACACCCAGTTTCTCGGTGTCAGAACACACTGCCCGGGTTAGTAAGCACAGGCTGCGACCTGGGAGGAATTGATGAACCAAATGTGTCTGGGCTTTTCACTTCCTCGGCATGAGTCAGCCAAGAAAGCCCACCTCTTCTCCCCAGCAGCGTGCGGGGCCTCTGCAGATAAATGTGCAGGAGAGCAGACCTGGGTGTGGTGCTGCCTGGCACTGAACCAGACCCCGGATTCTTTGGCTGCAGAGTGGCCTGGCCGACTCACACAGGTAGCACCCTTTTTCCTCTTGGAAAAGGAAGCACCAGGTGGAAAGGGAGGTTAAAGGAAGGAACACAATAACTTTTTTCCAGGCCCCTCTACCCACATGTTAAAGGTTTTTGCAAAATGCCTTTAGTGGCTTTAAATGTCACAGATGACATATTCCAGGGTGGATCCAGCCTCCAATGGACTTGACCCCTCTATTTTGATTTCTGCCTTTCCCCATCCTCAGCCCTGAGCAGCATAACATCTACATGGGGATAGCTGCAGGTGGAGCTCAGAACACAGCTCCTAGACAAGTACAGTGGGGTCTACGGCTTCATCATCAAAATGTAAAATTTAATTATATAAATGAATAAAGGCTAGATAGATGCATAAATATACATACACACATACATTTTATCTGGTGCCAGGACCAAGGCCTTATTACAGCTCAGAGCTCCACCTTCAGCATTTGAGGGCAGGCTGGGCTCCGAGCTTCTCTCCCCTCAATGCTGCCCCAGGTTCATAAGCAAGGACCCGCATGTGGGGGCTCCTGATCGCTGAACTGAAAGTCGACTCTCCAGTACAACAGGTAAACTTGTTTGAGAGCATGGGACATAATGACGTCTAAGCTATTGCTTCTTGGCAGCATTGGATGATCAGGTCCTCGCCAAGGCTTGGCAAGGCCTGTCCTAGGAAATGTTCCTGGGCTTGATTTCACCCTCACTGTTGAGAGAGTTTATTCCTTATAAGGTCCATCTCAATTCTTAGGGCACCACAAGACAACGTGTCTCCCCTCTCCTGTGCCATCAGTCAAAGAACATTTAGTCAACCTCAACTGGGAGCACAGCACTGCTGGGGCTGTTGGGCATTCAAAAGAGGCAAGATATTGGGAATCTACCAGGCGTCTGTACCCTTGTGGGGGAGCCAATCCATACACGGCAGCAACTGTTAAGTGGTGGCACCTGCTGGCTGTAGCACTTAATAGGTAGGTGTGCATGGAGTCAGACTGCCACATACACAGACCAGCCCGACCACTCACAGTAGCTGTGATCTTGGGCAAAACACAAAACCTCCCTGAGCCTCTCAGTTTCTCACCCACTAGTAGCATCTCGCTAAGCATGTTAGGAGGAGTCAATGCGATAGCCTACGCAAAGTGCCTGGTATAGTGCCTGGCACACGGAAGGTATTCAATACCTGCCAGCTGTTGTTGTTTTTCTGCAAATGAAGTGTAAGCCCCTTGAGGACAGAGACGAGTGTTCATAGCTCTTTGTTACCTGCCACAGAACCTTTCACATAACATGTGCCCAAGGGTTTGCTGCTCTACTCTGAGGGAAGGGGCAACACGAGGGGAACATAGTTTTATTGTGTAGGGTAATTTCCTCCAGGAAAGAACAAAACAGTGAATCTGTGAAACTTGGTATGGATTTTTTTAAAAAATCTCTTTGTAAAATGAAAGTATTTTCAACTGCATGTATCCCTATTTTTAAATAGTTAACCAAGATTTTGATACCTGTAGTTTATTCTAGAATATTTAGACAGGTATAACAGATAAAATCTGAAGTAAGTAAAATAAGCCAAATATAATCTAGAGAAATCTGCCACAAACATGTAGTTTGCTTGGATGAACATTACAATGGGTTTTTAAGGGAGTATGCAGAATGAAACTTTCAGAAAATAGACCTCCCTTGGTCCACATTGTGAATCACCGACAAGGCTTAACTCCAGGCAGACAAAATGGTCTCCACAGGCTGGTTCCGTGCCTGCCCTGCATGTGCACCTGGGGCTGTTGCAGAGTGGTTCTGGGTGGGGCATGACCGACAGGCTTGTGATGTGTGTCACTCCACCCCAGCCCAATGGCCAGACTGACCGCCACCATGGACAGCTCAGCCAGGAGAGGCCCTCTTCTGCTCTGACATTCCCTCACGCAAGCTTGCTGTTGTATCATGGAAAGGGGCAGGATGAAGGTTTAGGAAGTGACCTGCATTCATGTCCCAGCCCTGCCACTTTTAGCTATGTGAACTTGGTTGACTCATGCTCTCTGAGTCTCACTCAGAAAGACCCTATATGTGTAGATTTATAGATGGGGATGGTCCAGATGGTGTGAGTGGTCAGTTCCGGCTCTAAATCCTGGCATTTTCTGGGATGTGGATGAGTTCAGCAAGAGGCAGGCAGCCCAGCTGCTGGCAGCACGTGGCTAGTGGATGCCAGTGCCTGGAGCTCTCTCAGAGATCACATCCAGGTTCTACCTGTATACCAGCCCCAGGATGTACACACACCATAGTACCACCCCTATGTGTAGATGGCAAATATCCATTTGAAGTGTTACCAGAAAGGGATCCTGATTGAGACCCCAAGAGAGGGCACCTGGACCTTGTGCAAGAAAGAATTTGGGGCATGTCCACAAAGTGAAAGCAAGTTTATTAGAAAAGTAAAGGAATAAAGAATGGCTACTCCATAGGCAGAGCAGTGGCACGGGCTGCTCCGCAGAGTATACTTACAGTTATTTCCTGATTATATGCAACAAAGAGTGGATTATTCATGAGTTTTCCAGGAAAGAAGTGGGCAATTCTTGAAACTGAGGGTTCCTCTCCCTTTTAGATCAAATAGGGTAACTTCCTGATGTTGCCATGTCATTTGAAACTTCTTGGCACTGGTGGGAGCGTCTTTTAGCATGCTAATGAATTATAATCAGTGTATAATGAGCAGTGAAGATGAGCAGAGGTCACTTTCATCGCCCTCTTAGTTTTGGCAGGTTTTGGCCGGCTTCTTTACCACATCCTGCTTAATCAGCAAGGTCTTTGTGACCTGTATCTTGTGCCGACCTCCTATCTCATTCTGTGACTAAGAATGCCTAACCACCTGGGAATGCAGCCCAGTAGGTCTCAGCCTTATCTCACCCAGCCCCTATTCAAGATGGAGTCACTCTCATTTGAATGCCTTTGACAGAATCACATAATCAAATAACATTTGCTGAGGACCTTTTGCAGAACAAGGGGGACTGAGGGCTGTGCTGTGAGGGCTACAGAAGATGTGCACATCCAGACCCTTGCCCTCAGGAAAGTGTCCAAATGCCAGCTGTGTCTGCAACAGGCTATGAGGCCTTCAGCACACTACAGCCTCTCTAAGCCTATTTCCTCGTCTGTGAAGCAAGGATAATAAAACTTATCTTCCTCGTTATACAAATCAGAGGTAATATGCATAAAGCTTGTTGGATTGTTTTTAGGATTGGATTGTTGTTAAGAAATAGATATTATATGCTAAACTGCTAGCATAGTGCCTAGCAACTGGTAGGCATTAAATAAATGGTAATTACTATTGTTATTAATATGCTATTGTCATTATTTTTAGTGTGGATCAGTGTTAAAAGTGCTTCATGGAGAAATGGAGACCTGAAAGGGACTGTGAAGGAGGAGTGGGGCTCAGCAAACAGCAGACAAGTTTCAATCCAAGCACGCATTACCCCCCCAACACACGGCATACGTGCACCTCATCTCCTCCTGTGTCGCTAAGAAGCTACCCATATGTCTGTCATTAATTCTTCAGAATCCTTGGACACACCCTTCTGCAGGGCTTTCTAACAGGAAATACAAGTCTCAGATTTTTTTTTAAGTTAAAATTGAGTACAGCACTCATACCTTTCTTCAAGCATGAACTGTCAATCAACACTGCCTCATGAGCTACTGCTCTCCTCCTCTTTGAAAAGACAAATCCTTATTTCTTTGTGGTGATCCAGAAGGCAGTGGGAAGAATCACAGGTGCTTGGTTATCTTCAATTTAATCTCTACCCTTCAATGGGGCTGGTGCAAGCTAGGGCCATTTTACTGCACCCAGAGGAATTTAAGACATCTCTATTATCTCTAAAGAATCCAGATTAACATGCCTTCTTGGTGGGAAGGGAGACCTGCTATGAATTCTAGGATCTTAATTCAAATGCTTTCAAATTCTTACTTCTTGTTCAGTTAATTACATATATGTCACCACAGTCTTTAGCTTTTTTTTGTTTGTTTTCTATGCTCCTAATTTTCTCTGAAACTGTAGCATTATTTTAGGGGTTAATAAATTTGTAATTGGAAAAACTGTTTTTACTTCTTTAGCCTCACTTTTCCTCCCTTTCTGCTTCCCCTCTCTGAAAAAACCTTTCTTTTCTCCAGTGTCCGTTCTTTCTGTAGGAAAACCACCATCATCATAATTACAATATGTTAAGTGACTACTATATGCCAGGAATTAGCTCCATTCTTCACTTGTTTTATTTTACATAATCCTTTCCAAAACCCCCTGTCATAAGTAATATTATTATTCCTACTTTATAGCTGAGACTCCTGAGGCTAAGAGAGGTGGAGTGATTTGTCCAGTGTAGTCGGTGGGTAGAGTTAGGACTTTAATCCAGAACACCAACGACTGTTCTCTTCTTCACCATTACACTACTTTTTTCAAATTTCTAGAGACCTTCATGAATTCTTTGCATGTTTTTTTTTTTTTTTTTTGGTAGTCTAAATATTTATATTCCCGAAGGCCAAGTAGCTGTTCTTAATAAACAATTGCGGCCGGGCGCAGTGGCTCACACCTGGAATCCCAGCACTTTGGGAGGCTGAGGTGGGCAGATCACGAGGTCAGGAGTTAACCTGGCTCACACAGTGAAACCCCGTCTCTACTAAAAAATGCAAAAATTAGCCGGGTGTGGTGGTGCGCACCTGTAGTCCCAGCTACTCGGGAGGCTAAGGCAGGAGAATTGCTGGAACCTGGGAGGCGGAGGTTGCAATGAGCCAAGATGGCACCACTGCACTCCAGCCTGGGCGACAGTGAGGCTCTGTCTCAAAAAAATATATATATATTAATTAATTAATTAATTAATTTAAAAAATAAAAATAAACAATGACTTCCATGGAAGCAGTTACAAGCTGCCTTGAAGCAACTGCCCACAGTGGTTTTCTGACCTAGGTGAACTTGAAAATGGAATGATCAGCTCTTGGCTGCACGGTTTTGTTCTTTTCAGAAACAAGGGAAAGGACAATGTGACTTTGCAAATATCTAGGGGACTACAGCTTAATATTCTTAGCATAGCAGAACAGTGCTGGGAATCCCCGGGTCTTCTACTGAAATCCCCCTAAAAATTCCTCAAAATATTTTCCCTCCAAAAAAAAAAACCTCAGCTCTGAAAGTTTACATGTGTTGATTGCCCCAGACAACAGGAAGTGAAACGACTTAGTTGGAAGCAGACAGGGTCAGGGTGGAGGTGCTGCTGAGTGTGGGAAGTCTGGAGTGTGGAGAAGGCGCCCGGAGAGACTTCCTGGTGAGCTCTTCAGAGGAAGGAGCAAGTGCAAAGGCGGTTGCAGAAGCCGAGGGATCATCTTTTCTTCAACATGCACACCCAGAAGAAGAATTTCAGAAGCTGCATGTGCTCTAAAGAAGAGCTGCTCCTCTCTGGGTCTCTTGGGCTCCACACTGCTTCCTAAGTTTCTGAACCTCTGGAACTTTTCCTTCCCGGTGAATAACTCAAAGCCTTAATTCTAATGCAGCAGGTTGAAAGCACTTGCATGTGATTTAATAGGAAAGTCTGGGGTGGATAGTGGTCATGAACAACAATATCCCAAATTATTTGTTATTTCTGCCTGGCAATTATAAAGGATGAAAGTAGCATGGTCATGGCAGAAATAGATGGTGGCTTAATGGTGGGTTAAGTTAGTAGATCTTGGGTGTTGGCAGTTTCCTAAGCCTTTGAGGTTCCCAAAGCTAACATCTTCAGAACCAAAGGGGCAATCTTCTATCGGTTACCGACTAAGAAGAGGGGGCAGTATCTCTCAGAGGGTATTTGGTAATGTAGGGGTGTCCATGGTGTCATGGTTATCGCAATGATTGGGGAGTGTTGCAAACATCTAGTGAAGAGGGCAGGGATATTAAGTGTCCCGCAGTGATAGAACACTTCTGTGCTGTGAAGAACCACTCCATCTCAAACGTCAGCAGCACCCCTGGGCAGGTCCCTGCCCTCAAAGTGGTGCTTGATTCTGGACTAGGTCCGGAGCTCTGCACAGTCAATCTGAGCTTTATTTTCAGGAGACTTTGCTGAAAAAGGACTGATGACATCACCAGCATCATCCTCAACAAGTGTGTGTGACAGCCTGTGATGTGGAAGGCAGGGTGCTGCCTAACAAAAGGCCGCAAAATGCTTTGAGAATCAAATGAACTCTAACACAACTCCCAGTCTGTTACAATATCCAGGATGCTTGCACTTAACTTAGAAAGGTAATGTATCCCCTTGCCTCTTTCTTCTCTCTTATTCTGTGTGAACAAGGATTTGCTCTATGAAGCCAGAAAAAACAAAATTCTTACATACAAGTTTCCATTAGCAGTTCCATATCAGTATCTATCTTCTCATATGATATGCTTTCAAGACTACAGACTTCTCAAAATAATCAAAAGACTCTAGTGTACACAAAAGGCTGACAAGGCTCTGATCTAAAATAATATTTTGGTCTTATCATTTGGAGGGCGTTTTGTGACATTTTGACTCTAAATTTCACATGTACAAAATTACACAGAAAAAAAATTTAATTCTTAGACATTCTGAAATTGTTTTAAAAACCCAAACTATTTATTATGGTCAAACATGCCAAAGGTAACTCGCCCTAAACACATTTTCTTCAACTGCAAAAGAAATGAATAAATTATGGAAGAATAGCAGATTTTATAATTTTAACAAGATTCTGCGTTTTCTGAACATTGATGTATATATATACACCTAAAGACACCCTATTCTATGTTCCAGAGTGAATTCTTATGCTGTGAGTTCTACCTTCAACAGCACTAGTGCTAAGTAGGATAAGAGTTACGCAGATCTCTCTGCTAACTCCTCCTCCCCAACCCCATATGTCTGTTCCATGGCTCAGTTCCATTCCTCTGCATTCCTTTCCTTGCATATGTTACAGGAAAGTGGTCCCGATCCAGACCCCAAGAGAGGGTTCTTGGATCTCACACAAGAAATAATTCAGGGTGAGTCTGCAGTGCAAAATGAAAGCAAGTCTGTTACAAAAGTAAAGGAATAAAAGAATGGCTACTCCATAGACAGAGCAGCCCCAAGGGCTGCTGGTTGCCCATTTTTATGGTTATTTTTTGATGATATGCTAAACAAGGGGTGGATTATTTACACCTCCCCTTTTTAGACCATATAGGAGTACCCTTCTGATGTTGCCATGGCATTTGCAAACTGTCATGGTGCTGGTGGGAGTACAGCAGTGAGGACAACCAGAGGTCACTCTCATCACCATTTCGGTTTTGATGGGTTTTGGCCGGCTCCTTTACCGTGACCTGTTTTAACAGCAAGGTCTTTATGACCTCTATTTTGCGCTGACCTCCTATCTCATCCTGTGACTTAAAATGCCTTAACCATCTGGGAATGCAATCCAGTAGGTTTCAGCCTTATTTTACCCAGCTCCTATTTAAGATAGAGTTGCTCTGGTTCACATGCCTCTGACATGTAGACTCCTGAAACTTGACCTTTCACCTCTCACCTTTATCTAGGTTGTCTAAAACTGCATTTTCATTTCTGACCTCTCAACACATGCCTAGAGTCACATTTAATATTGCCTAATGTGCATTTCACATGCAGGTTATGTCTCCCTTCCAACAGTGTCCCCAAACACCACCTCTCCCCTCTTCTTCCTAATTCTTTCAGTTTCTCCGGCTGTCTCACACCCTTTCAAATGAAAGCAAAATTGAGAAGACAGGGAAAGTGAAAGTGGATTTCAACTTTAGCTCATAATACCTTGTGTTATCAGCAACCCACTCCACCACTCTATGACAAAATAAGAAACATCTCTGGGGCTAGATGCTTCTTGTATCCCCAGAATCCACAATTCATATGTGGCTAAGAAGGTTGGGAAGGATGAAACTATAAACTAAAAATAAAATCCTAAGCTCCCCAGCTGATGGAATGGACTCCCTCTTGTCCAAGGAGGCCTCAGAAAATGTTAAAAACCGAGCCTTGACAGGAGATCAGATACGCCTCATTATGCCCCCTCCCTTTTATGGGTTAGAAGGAATCGAGCAGCATTAATGTTAAAATTGAGCTCATAAGACTGACAGAACAGACTCTTCATGGCAATAAAATATCAAATTACAAACAGGACCTAGGGCCATGCCAGACAAGGGTTGAGTCACTCACCTCTACACTTAAAGAATAAACTGTGTTCTCTGCCACAAGGTTTACCTTTTTCTCTAGCAGCTAAACAAGCACTGGCCTCGAGATAAACAATAGTAAAATAATTTGCAGCCATTGCCATGCACTAACTGACCTCCCGTTCCACAAGCCATCACTACAGCTTTGATTGGACAAGAGACTGATTTCAGTAACTTTCTCCTGATAAGAAGACCACCAACCATGGACTGACTCTGGCCAGTTTACAGAGGATGCACACTTGAGTGCCTTCACATTCTAAAAAGACCTTTTGACATTTAGGGCCTAATTGTAACACATTTAAATGTTAAGTCTTCACCCCTAGGTGAACACAGGTTGTATGTTACATGCGTGTTTGTTCAATATGCATGTGTCAGGACCACCTTCGTGAATATTCACAGTTCCTCTTACAACCTGTTGAATATGTGTACTTGACCAACCCATTCAGCGTAAATTCCTGCCCAGACCCTCCTCCTTCAAAGTGCCTGTCTTTGGTCTTTGCCAGAGGCTACGCTTCCCAGCCTGCAGATGGCCACTTTGCAGGCTGTAACCCTTTATAAGAAATAAAGTCTCCTTTCCAAATTTATACATTTGTGATGTTTTAGTTAAGAAAAACAGTGATCTCAACCAAATTTCCTTTGCCGGTAGAGGGCAATAATTTGAATAGCATATAACAAAGTGACAGAAATTCAACTCTAACCAGCTTAAACAAAGGCAAATTTTCTTAGTTTAATGAACTAAGAAGTCCAGGAGAGCCTGGACTTGGAGCACTGCTGGATTTGGGTGCCAGACAATGTCATCGGGGACCTGTCTCCTCCCTCTCTTTAGCTCAGCTCTCCTCTGGATTACCTCCATTCTCAGACTGGCTCTCCCCAAGTTAGGCAAAGACAATGACCAGCACTTCCT